TAGAGGTGATTGAATTAGAAATTGCTTAGAGGCATCGACTAAGAAGTTGATAGTAAACAGAAGAACTCTTCTTGCAGACCCTGTTTCAGTAACTGTTCAGGCAGCAGAATGTATGACAAAAGACTTCGTGCAAATTGTGATATTTAATTATCTTTAAAATCGTATTAGTATGTCTGGTACTTTTTCCCTACTCCATCTTGTTTTACCATCTGTTTTTCCTTTTTAAATGGTTAAGACTGGTTACCTTTGGGTTCTTTTCTCTGCAGCTCAACTGTGTGGACAACTTAATTCAGAAAACAGAGACATGTATTTTACCGATAGCAGTGGCCCAAAGAGACCCTAGAGCATCTGACTGTCAACCAAAGGTACTATTTCTGTGGAACTGAATAATGAATAGTGGTTCTTAAATTTCATTTTAGTGGTTTATTATTTGCAAAATATTCCAAGAAGTCCTAATAAATACTTAACCAGTCTTATAATGGGCTTCTCATCCCTTTTTAGTACACTTGTCTGGGAAGTTTTCTGTTGGCAGTTTTCAACTCAAATTTTGCAATATGAAAAGAAGACTAATCATATTACATCAGAAAAGAAACTTTCCATTGACAAATATTTGTGCAAAAACTTTACTGCTGATGAGTTGCAGAAGTGCAAGAGAAAAAGAGAAAAGCATAGATCTTATTTTCTTCTGCAGTTCCCAGCAGACTATTTTTGTTATATGTATGAACAGTACCTTTATTGGCTGTAGACAGTTCCAGAACAGTACTGCTTTTCAGTTAATGATTTAATTCCAATATATTGCCTAGCCTGTTGCGTTTCAAGGGCACCAAGTGAAGGGATCAGCAGCCAGTGAGATCATGTTGAGAGCTCCCTGGTCACAGCTAGGCTGGCAGCAGTACCCAGATAATACAGAGTTGGCAGCTGAGAGATTTTTGTCACCTCTCTTTTCAAGCAGTGATGTCCTCCCTGAATTCAGCCAGGTAAAAAGCTTTTTTCAAAATTATTTTAACTAGCCTTAGTGCAAGAAAGTATCCTGGAAAGTAGGAGAGAAGAGGGTTTATTTTTAGCATACTGCAATCATATCGAAATCACTAAGAACTGAATGTTGTGCTTTGTGGTTGAAACTTTGCAGTCAGACAGTTATTTTTACTCATCTTTGTCACTTGAGTACTTATGTACACATAAATAACTTGGTTTTTTCCCTTCTCATCTATTTTACTTTGAAAAATAACCACGGTCATAACATGTGATATGAAACAGGTTTCTTCCAGAGAAAAGTGGCAGAGGTCTTTGATAATGATAATTTCCTGATGTTAGCAGTAGAATATTCACCTCAACTAGATCTGAAGTTTGGTATATAAGTGTTAAGAGTTCCAGAGCAATGGTTAAAACTTCTTGGACTATGGTTCTGTTCCTACTGGATGCAAAGAAAAATGATATGCAAAGTTAAATACAGGATTTTCTCTAACAGAGTACGTATTTCACGATTTAAAATAATGGAAGAAAACTGATAATTCAATTTTGACCTCCCGAATGCTCTAGAGATACTGAAGAATTATATCCAGAAATAAGATATTTAGAAATAAGATTCACAGAAAGATAATATTTATATTGAGGATAAAGAGTTTAATTTCTAACAAGTTTTTGCTCATGCTTTTTTGTGAAGTCTCCAGGTTCAAGAAGTCTTAATGAGGATGATATCAACTTTACCAGAGAAGAGAATTTTCAAGAGAAGTTTAACATCATTAAAGAGTCCAGAATAGATGAGTCTCGTAAGTGAAAGCAGAAGCAGAATGGCAGGGGTTGGCCTCAGAACAATTGCCCTGCATGACTGCTGTCCTTTGCCTACTTTTACAGCACTGGCAGTGAATGTGTGTGCTGAAGATCCGCCATGGACAAAGTCAGGCTCAGCTTCACTTACAGACTTGAGACAAACGCAATGGACTTCCTGGGAGCCTGACAAGGTGTGAATTGACTGTCTCTTCGAGAAGCTTTTGGCTTTATTAGCTCTGTGTTCATGGTACCAGTTGCTGATTTTTGAAACTGTTTTATCTCAACTGAGAGACATTTCAATTGTTTAGAATAATGAGAGAGGGAATAGTAACAAAAGAGCTAGAATCAAGTTTTCTTTTCCAGTCATTCATTTGACATCCTAATTCTTCATCTGTAGGTGACTTCATCAGTAGAACTGACTTCCACACTTTATCCAGACTCTACAATTTCTCCAGCTTCAGAAAGTGAAGAATGTACTGGAGACATCCAGGAGCCCCTGATGCACAGGATCCTGCCAGGTGAACCAGAACTGCCAGATTTTTTTTTCGGTAAGAAATTCTAGTTTAAAATTGCATTTCACAATATTTTTCCTGGAATATCTCTGAGGATTTTTAACCACAGTGATTTGCATGCACTATAACAGGCAGCTACCCTGGGCACTGAAATACACTGAGATAGTCTGGGTAACTACAGAGTTTGACTTGTGTTTCACTCAAGAATGAATGAAATGATTGACATGTTTTTCATAGGAGAGTGAAAGCATGATTTTCTGAGCATGATTTCAAACAGTGTTTTCCAAACTGGCTGAATTAGCCTTGATTTCCATGCCTCCCTGACAATTATTTTCTCCTGAAAGACTTCAGTAGAGTGATTTAATTTTATAAAGAAAAATCAGCTTCTAATTTTCAGGGAAAAATAGGCTGTAAGCTCAGCTTCTAATTCTTAACAATTTTTTCATTCATTTACCTGGTTTTACTTTGCTTCCATATTGAGCTGTCCTCTGACCTGCTTACAGTTGACACCTGTCAGTGACTGTCATTTCTTATTGGTAGCAAACTTAGTCAAAAGGATGCTTGTGATACTAGAAGCCTGTTTATCTACATAGCTTAATATTAATTTACAGTTTTGTGGGTGATCTTTTTTGAGAAAGGAGCAGTTGTTAAGCTGGCTGTTTTCCACTTGGTAGCTGTCACTGACCTACCAAGAATGACCTCCAAAACACAGTAATGTTTCAATCAATTCTACTGAACATTGTCTTTTATTAAAATGGAGTGCCTACAGAAATGTGTTCTGAATGTAGGCATTTAAGTATTAAAATCACAGTTGAAATCACTCATATAGATATTTAGTGTGGTACTGTACAGACCTGATATCAGGAGCTTGCCAATTAGAAGACAGGATGTCAAAGGAAGAACTTTGAATTGTTTTCCTTACGTTAGTTTTTTATACTTGAAATTAAAATGCCATCTGTAAGTGCTACAAGTTGCTTGTAAGATGTATTTGCCCTACAGCACGGGAGAAATCCACCTGTCCAGAAGAATGCAGCCTCTCAAGGTTCAAACACACATCTAAAACAAGAACTCCATTTGTCACCCTTCCTGCCACTGAGAAGATTCCTGACATGTCTTGTTCAGATGACAATGAGGAGGTCCAGCAGTCTTTTGGTTCTTCAGTACATTTAGGCAACAAGTCAGTGTTTCCTGTTAGTTCTTTTGGCCCCGAGGACAGAAATTATGAAACCTCTGTGTTTGGAGAGTATACGGAAGACGGACAAAGGGAGTGTGTAGAACCAGTGTTCCCTAATGAGACTTCACAATATAGACAAAGCAAGTGGCTGAAATATCAAAACAGTGCTCAGAGTGACTTGATAACTCAAAACAGTGATGATGAGGAAATGACCGATGACATCTGTGCTGAGAATGTCCTTGGAATGCAGCTGGGTGACAAGGGAGAGAGCAGTGCTGTGAAGAGAAGTGCTCCAGGCTCTGCACCTCTCCTGACAGCAAAGAGCGTGCCTGGTAAATGCTGTGCAAATGCCAACAACCGAGATTGGATTTCAGAGAGGAAGTTACTTTCTCTGCACTTCAGTCAGACACCTTTGGCTGAAGCAACACAAAAGGTGTTGAGTCATCTGAGCTGCCACACGGGAACAGGAGACGGCCAGGTGTGTAACTGCTCAAGCAAATACAGTTAGAAGTGACAGAAACACATTGTTCTGGTTGAAGTAACTGCATTTATCTGTATCCTTAGATGGAATCTTTCTATATGAGTCTCTGCTACAGAACAGCAGCTGCTAATGTATTTAAGTGCCATGGCTAATCCTCTGTAAAGGTAATGGTTTGGAGCCCACAGTGCCAGGTTCAGATGTTTAATCTGAATGTCAATGGCAAGAAAATGAAATAAAAGCTGTTAGGCTGTTTTGTCACCTATATTCTTTAAGAACATGTTTTCAATAAGTGGTTTTATTATTGGTGAAACTGGCATAGTTTTAATTAACACCTGTATCTTGCTTCTAAGTGTAGTCTCTGACTATAAAATATTTCAAGTTTCTTAGGTTTTAATTATAGAAAAGTTATGACATTAAGCACCTGAAAAATTAGCACAACTGTTTGACTCCTTGACTATCTTAATCAAATGGAGTGAATAACAAAAAAACCCCACAAGTTAAGTTATAAAATTTGTCACATGGCTGTGTTTGAGAGTTAATGAAAATGTTAGATTTTTGTTTGATGCAAACTTAGTACACTGTTTTGTAGTTCTTTCAAACTGTTTGTACATTAAACTATTGATGGAGAATAGGTGTGTAAATTAGTGTGTTTCATATACACACTGGTGTACATACTGTGTGTGTATATATTATCCATATATACAGACTTGTAAAAAGCTTCTGAAGAGAGTTATTTGGATGGTCACTGCAGTGTAGATGGGTGGAAGAAGCTCCCCAGAACTAGCTGGGATAGCAGGTACAGGGACAGCTTGGGGAATGCACCCTTTCCCTAAAGCTCTCAAGTCTGGTTCCTCCTTCTCCCGCCTTGTAATACATGTACTCTAGTTTCATCTGAGAGATGTGTTTCTGTGCAGAAATGGCATTAAAAATGGTGTTTGTGTGCTCCTTCACCATGTCAAGGGCTGAAAACATGGTTCTGAATTACACCTTTTACACTCAAGCCTTTGAAAGTATTTTCTGTGTTATTATAAATGCAGACTGCTTGTCAGGGGGCACATCTTGACTTCACAGCACATCCTAAATGGCAGTTCAAGCTCTAAGCTGTAGCTCCAGGGATACTTAATTTTTGTCCTGTTGACAGTCTATTGAATACAGGCTCCTGTACTTAGAGCTAGCAAAGTCAGCAGTCACTTGTGGGGAAGGGCATTTCTATTTTGCTTTTAGGAAACTAATTGACAGTCTTGATGCTGAAATTGCTGGTTGCAGAATGAGGCCCTGAATTTATTCTATTTAGTTGCACTTGTTAATGAGAGGACAAGATGTAAAAGCAAAAAAGGAAAAAAGAAAAATATGTAAGTTTTGGCATACCTGTACAGTAGCCATTCATCAAAACCTGTCTCACTCAGGATTTTTCAGTTTTTAAAGATTTCTTTTTGTTTTTTTGTTTTTTTGGTTTTTTTTAGGAAATTAGTATTTCTGAGTTGTCATTTCCTAGTGTGGATCAAGTAAAACATGCTAATCTTCCTAAAAGAAAGATTTCCATACCAACTGTCTTTCAGTCTCATGTTCACTACAAGCAGATTTTTAAAGCTGCTCTGACAGGTATGTTTTTACACCATGCTATGTAAAATGCTTTTACTTTTAAACTGTGTTTCTGAAGCTTCACAAAGCAGGGTGAGCAGGAGAGAGATCAGCATCATCTATTGGAACAACTGTGTGCACTTGGTTTCAGAGATAATCTATATATAAAAAAATATATTCAGTGTACCTAAAATTGTCAAGACAAAATAAGACTTGTATGTTTCTGTTCAACTATGGAACCTTGTGCCTGTTAACCAGTCTTTCCATTCCTACCTAAACTTTTTTAATGGTTGGAGTGTTTGGAGTCAAATACTTACATGTCATTTGAATGTAAGTAAGGCAGCTAGAACAAACTAATAGCCTGTGCAAAGTGTGAATTTTGGAGGTCACGTGGTTTCTTTTAGAACTCATTAAATACTTTGATTTAGATTTGAGATTGAAAGTTTCAGATGACAATGTATTGGTTTGGATGTTGTGTATTTGTGTAGCCATTTTAAGGCTGTACTAATGAGCTTTTTTTCCTCCTTTCTATGTCAAGAGCAATTAAACATAATGCTGTTTGAGTTGTCACAAAGATTACACAACGCTCTCTCAAAAGTGGATATATCATTTTACACATCACTGAAAGACGAGCAAAGTAAGAGCAAAGAAAGCCACGTTCCACTCTGCAATCACTTGTGTCCTGCCAAGCTTGTTATGGTTAAAAAAGAAGGTGGAAACAAGGTGCTGTTAGTTCCTGGTTTGTTGGCAGCTCGTGAGGGGTGGGTTTGGCATATAGACCATATGGTGTGAACAATTGCAGGGTGGTTCTGAGTGATTTACAATTGCAGGTTGAAGTGCTGTATTACTATAGGGATGACTTTTAAGATCAGTTGTAGCATCCACTAGTTTTATCCATACAGAAACAGCTTAATCTATGTAGAGAGAAAGCTCTGAATTTAGACTTCTTAGCTTCTATGGGATTTCTCCAAAATATGACTACACACACTAGCTTTAGAAGCTGAGAGTTCTGAGAACACACTCGTGTGTTTTAACCAAACACAAATGATAACATAAGTGTTTATCTGATGATTTCTATAGCAGTGAGTACTGCTCCATTCATTGCTTTACTTTTTTTCTTGTTTGTTTTAATGTGCTAATGGTGTTATTTCCCCTCCTTTCCTAGGGTCGTTTGTTCTACACCTGTGATGCTCCAAAAGCTGAGCGGTGTTCGTTCTTCAAGTGGATAGAAGACGTGAACCCGGCACAGATAAAATCCAGACCTAGTGTAGTACTTCACGATATAAAAAGTATTGGGACGTACCTCAGAAGTCAAAAGATATCTCTCTATGAGGGGTGCCAGCTTCTAGTGAGGTATTCTGATATACTAAGCACTTTTCACAAGTGCTATCTGAATTGCAGAATTGAAAAACATTACAGTAGTTCTGCAGAAAAGCAGCATTTCACAGACACTTTTGCTAAAGAGGCTTAAATTAAAGAGACTGCAGTTCTGTGTGGAAATGTAAAAGCCAAATTAGTGAAGGATTAATATTGCCAGCAATGGCACTTCAGGTCAGCACTCCTTTCAGTGAGAATCCAAACTGCTTACCAGCAGCTGGATCAGTTGCTTAATGAAATCCCTTATGACTGTTGCATTTCAATTACTGTTCTCTTACCTTTTGTAAGAGAATTTGATGTATTCTGTTAGTGATTCTCATTTTAATGTTAGGAGTTGTGTAGAAGGCTATTCTGTGCTGCTTAAATGCAGGGGAAACAATGTAATGATGGCTGAATGACAGAAGTATTTTGCAGTCAAGATGAATGTATTATTAACTTGGTAATGTAAGATGATGAACAACTACCAAGATGTGTGCTGTATAAGTTGGCCCAGACTGTGGAGTTTTCTTATTTTTGATGGTGAATCCTAAATGTGACAATTGTTTATACAGTTTCTCTCAAATTAATAATTTAACAGGAAAGCCTTTGAAATTCAAACACAGTGGCGTAGTAAGTGTAAGAAATTTATGAATGCACCTGCCAGATTTGATGGTGATTCTAAAAACAAATTATACCTCAAACTAAGCAGAAAGGAGCATTATTCTCTCTATGGCAAAGGTAAGCTAATCTTAAGTGTCAGAATTGTCCATGTCATGTTGTGCCTTGTGAAATGTTTAATTTGTAACAGAAAGAGTAAAACTGAATCCTAATAATTCAGTGGTAATTGAGTGTTTGTTCTGGAAGGGCAATGATTTCTCATTAATTCATCTTTCCTTGTAAGTGTTCAGCTACGTTAGAAAAATATAAATTCCATGTCCCTGAGTTTGGAGTGTATTAAATCAGTCCTTAAGTTTCAGGAATG